ATCAATTTGTCCCGTCGTGACATTGCTTGCGACCAGGCCACCACAATCCGGTGGTGTGGGACCAGCACTACCCATGAACAGGTGAGAACTCCCGGTTCTATCACGCCTTTCGAACTGAAGACTACGTGGGCGTCTTGCCTCCCTAGCTGCCCAATGTAGCAAAAATGCATTGGAAGGGCTCTTCTCGCTCGCTTTCACCTGGGGCCTCTTGTCTTGGAGTTTTTTGTTGAATATGCTATGCCCATTAATCTAGGTGCGGGTTATTCCATGCAATGTTGCTTCTGACCCGCACGATTTGGATCTGAGGCTTCATTCAAATAGGGGTCGGCGGCACCCGGGCGGAGCCCTTACAATTTCAGACAACAGGCAACAATACTCTCTGCATCTTCAATTGTGAAGAAGGAGTGTCAGTATCAAGCAGTGAAATCTCAAGTGCTCCAAAAAGAATCTTGCAGCTATGGAACCTTTCCGAATTGTCAAGAGTGGTGCCGAGATCTGCCCAGCAAAGCCCAAATCTCCAACTTGGCCTTCCACCAAGCAAAGGTACTCCTCTCACGCATGGGCGTGCCGTGCAAGAACGAGTGGGGGTCAAACCCCTTTGTGAACCTGAACGCCCAGAACAGCAAAATGGCCCAGTGGGGCAGGCCCTCTCTTTCCCGGTGTGTGTATGGCTGACCCACAACGAGACGTAAATTCCACGTATGCAACTACTCTATAAGTCTACAAGTTAAGCTCATGACAAAAGCTTGGGGCGCTGGCGTTCGACCTACAACATGCCTCTGGGTTTTGTCACACCGCCCTGGAGCTATTCAGCTGTTCTTGTTGGACACTGAGGATTGATACGCATATAACTTGCATAATTATATATATATTAACTATGTATATATTATATTAGTATAAATAAAAATTACATAATAATATATGATCAACGACCTGCAGTGCCGCAGTTTTGCAATTGCCCCGGGCTCTTTGCACCTCACGCCCTGGAACTATGTGACCATGGTTTGCCAAAGGTCCATGGAGCAAAGAATCGGCCGTTCAAAAAGGGCAAAGCTCCTTCTGTACGAGTCGGCCAGCAAATTGAGCTTGAAACCAATTTACGGCCCGTGAGCTCTCACTGCCGAGAGCTATCGGTAAGACACCTGCAACCGATGTGACTGGATTGGAATTACTTCTTCGACCAGTTACAGTTGGATTTGAAACAGCTGCCTTGAATTGTCCTGTTTCAAAAAAGTTAGGCATACTGAACTGCTACAAGGTCAACCGTTGAACCAGTGAGTGAGGCCATCCTCTTCCAAGGCATGAGTGCGCCCCAAGACTGGAAGCTTGCCGTTCAATAGCATATATCCACGTACACCTACAGTAGTAACTAGCAAGGAACTTAGCAAGGAATATCTGTGCACTTGGGCGTTGGCATAAAGCGCCTGAAGTTGGATGGTCCAAACGGGACACCAAATAGAGTTCTGGCGTCTGCAACTCTTTTGCAATTTTGTCCACCAGCTGCTCGGTCCTTGCGGCATAGTCATAGTGAGTCATAGTGCGACCATCACATGTTTCTGGCACAATAGGCCCCGCACAAAGGTATGGCATGCCAAACAGCATCCCAAGAGCCTGCGAGGCACATGGCAGTCCTTATGCCAGCCGGCTTGGTGACGGCCAGGATGCCTGGCCCCTCGGCCAAAATTTCTGCCACCGTCACATTGTTAGCTTGGCCTTGGCTCACTGAGCGCCTGTCTCTGAAGCTACGTCTATGTGCTGTCCCACTCTCCAAGTGACTGGTGGGTTCCAGTGGGGGCCAGGAAGACGCGATGCTGCTCAAAAGTTCCTTGGCGCGTTGATCCTACCAATGGCATGAAACACTTTCTAGCAAGGATTCCTTCGTGACGTTCTGCCAGGTCTCGAAACCTTTGGTCTTGTTGCGCAGGGCCCCGATAGCTGAACCGGCTATCATTCCTGTAGGGACTAAACGACTGGACCTAAGGTGTCGAGATACAGCAAAACGCTGCGAAAAGACTGCCCAAGAATACAAGAGAGCAAAATTAACCATACTGCCGGGAAGAGTTTCTCTCATTCAGTCAATGCCAAATAGGTTTGCTGAAAAGCTGAGTGGCAACATGTCCTGCACAAGGCTGATGGCTGAAGTCCATGCAGCAGCTAAATCACAGGCACTCATAGCCGCTCCATAGGTTGCCAAATTTGGTTCTAGATCGATATCCATCATCCTGCGAACAAGTCTTCAGTGCACCCGGTGCTATAGGATTTGAAGCTGTGTGGCCTGCAGTTTCCCTGGCAGGGCGCTTTGCTAAGCAAAAACGTTGCAGGGCTGCCGCCTTCAGAGGCCATGTCCTTGTCAACATCTCCAAGCATAACTCCCATCGGCCAGCTTTTTCAAGGGCACTGATTACAGAGGTGTAAGTGATCCTTAGCTCGCTGGAGTGGCTGAGCCAAAACCCACAGAGCTATACCGCCATATATCAACCCTCCCTCTCCAAGCGCGCGCACTATTTTGAAGGACCACCATTGCAGGGGGGGATGCTGCAGGGCTGGCAGGTAGAGCCCCCCCATAACTCACCCGGCAGCACATGGGCCGCCTAAGAGAAGGCACCTACCATGTCATTCCATTAGGGAGGGAGGGTGGGACAAAGAGATTGCACTCAAAGTCAACCACCACTACACCTCAAACCAATGGGCCACTTCTGATAAGCATTCATGCAAGCTTATATTGTAGTGCGCAACGCCAGCAGCAAACACTCCAGCTTGCAGTAAGCACCTGCATGGAGGTGAGGGTTTGTTGGTTTACCTTGCAGGCAAAGCTGTCCAACCCTCCCTCTCCAAGCACGCGCACTATTTTGGAGGACCACCATTGCAGGGGGGGGATGCTGCAGGGCTGGCAGGTCAGCACCTGCAGCAGAGCCCCCCCATAACTCACCCAAACTGAGCGTGGTCCCAAACCGTCATCCACTCCACCCAAAGCGTGCTTGTCAATTAGGCTAACATGGTAGCCCCAAGATTGAGTAAGTTCAGCCAGTCTGGGAAAAGCTGCTTGATTTGGAGAGCTGCGCCCAAAAGGAAGGGTCTCGCATTGCTCCGCGTGATAGGATGTCAGCCCACTCATTTCGGACGCCAGCAACATGAGAAATTTTCAAGGTGATCCGCTCTTTTAAGCAGAAAAGCGCAGTACTCTGCAGCACACTAGCCAGCGGCTGTTTCATGGACAAATGCTTTGCTGTGCTGCACACTACACCCATATTGTCGCACTGTTGACGAAGAGAAATTCTCCCCATCTTTGCTTCCAAAGATAGTTGCGACCGCTGGCACGACAAAAGGATCAACTGGGCTAGGGCCTCCAAGGCTGCAATGGCCGATTGCAAATCATGCAAATCTTTTGTAAACCAAGCTGGTATGGCAGCCCATTCTACTTCGCAGGAAAACCAGAGGATGTTGGATGGGTGGAGCTCTGCACCCTCTGGCAGGAACCAACCGCCCACACCAGCCCGGGTCCCTTCTCCATAGGCACCCGCTGCCGCCACAAAGAGATTGCACTCAAAGTCAACCACAACTACACCTCAAACCAATGGGCCACTTCTGATAAGCATTCATGCAAGCTTATATTGCAGTGCACAACGCCAGCAGCAAACACTCCAGCTTGCAGTAAGCGCCTGCATGGAGGTGAGGCTTTGTTGGTTTACCTTGCAGGCAAAGCTGTCCATTGCTCCAAACATCTCCAAACACACTCGAAGAAAGCAGTATTGACAAGTCTTGGTTCTTGGCAGTGGTCTAGAGTCTAGAGTAGCAATGAAGCACATCTGTTCATCGAAAAGCTCACAAGAATGTTGGGGGCCCGTTTGAGCGGCATGATGGAAACGTACCGACGTACCGATGTCTCTTGGAGCATTCGAAGGTATTACTCTCATCCACTGGTCGCACATGTAATGAAAAGGAGTTCCAGCCAAGTCACTCATTTGGGAATACTTTCTCATCGTCCATTGCCCGCAATAGTGCCAATGATTCCTCCCATTTGTGACATTCTTGGCAAGCACTGATCGCCTGTCTGTACCAGCACCATCGGAGAAGCGTTGAAGATCTACAGCAACAAATTTGAACGAAGATGAAAAACGTAGTAATACTTGGAGGCCGGGGGTTGGTGACAGAAGCTAGCGTGGCAAAGGGGCACAGGAGGGAAAGAAGGAAAGCAGCGAGCGGCATGACAAAAAGATGTGTATTGTCGTTGTCGTTATCTTTTGGGGGGGGCACGAGAAAGCAGGTTTTAACATGGCAGAGATGAGCGATGAAAAGAACATGAAAGAATGAACCTGTACATAGCAGAAGTGAAAGGAGGCAAAGATGGCAAAGTGACCAAGGAACAAGTGCTCGAAGTTGATAAACTGGCTTCGATCAAGGGCTGTGAATTGCTGCCAGTCAGAGCAGCGCCAGCGCAACCAAAAGTAGCCAAAAGCTAATCAACTATATACTATATAATATGTTTAACAGCATCCATTAGGGCAGCAAATGATCCCGAGCACCTATTAGAAACACCCCCCGATTAAAAGCAACAGCATGCCGAAAACGCCTAAATACGGTTTATATGGTTTACATGTGTTTTTTGAATTACCGCCCTTTAAAACCGCTACTGAACTAGCAACATGGTCGACTTTGGCAGAGTTCTTTGTATTAGGTTCCGTGTTATATAAAACCCTTTGTCAAACTCGAATCGAAAAATGAACAAAACTCAATATCGAAGGGTCTTCCTTTTCCCTTGACAACATTCTTTATATATCAAAATATATTTAAATTTTACTAAAATAATGATTCTTCATTAGACTAACAACTACACTAAAGCTTACGAAGGCGATGTCGCTGTACCATGCCGTTTTGCACGGCCTTGGTTTCAAGTGCGTTTGCGTGAGTCCGTGGTGGACAAACAGGGTGGACAGAGGTGAGCGGTTAGTGTGTTCCCGAATGCGTAGCGAAGTTCCCGTTTACTTCAGGCAGACAAAAGTTTACGCTTGTTAGCCTTCTTACAAAACAC